ACAAAATATGCAGAGAATGTCAGCTATTGGTGCTTGGACTCAAGCAGTCTCCTGCCTGAAGTGATAACTAGGAAAGCCACCTCCAGAGTGGAAGGGCGAGGAGGGTTGGAGAAGTGATGCATGTAAATGTCATCTTGGTGTGTTGGCAGCGACTGGACCTGAAGACCAATGGAACGAGCAGGGTGGTTCCTTGATACTGGAAGGCTCTAGATGGAATTACTCACAGAATTCTTGTCAAACCTGTCACCTGAACGAGGATGCCTGGCATATAATAGATAAGGAAGAAAAAGAGACGATTGCCTTGGAGTTGCTCTTTTCAATCATTGAATAAAGCAGCTGCCACCCCTGAGAGTTAGAGTAATGATTTTGGCTTCTGGGGCTGAGAGTCCTCATAATAGTGTGGAATCAGAAAAAATATATGCCTTAAACTTTGATTATTTTAGTTATAAGATGACATAACCGCTTTGTGGAGAATTGCTGGCTCTGTATAGTAGAACAAATAAGAGAAAGTGTTTGTTCTTTGTAACTCCTCTGCAACTGCTTCGCTCACCGCGGCCTTGAAGATAGCAAAAAAGTATATACAAATCCGATTTCCAGGTGCAAGAAGGTTTGTGAACTAACCTCGCCTCCCCCATTAGTTCCCATCCTGATTACAGCAAAGAAATAATAAAGTAATATTATAGCCGCTTTTCATGCTAATTTCACTATATGATCACGTGAGTTGTAAGCAACTGTTAAAAAGTATATAAGCCTCCTGATTTTGCTCTTGGGGGGGACCCCTTCCAAGTGCTTGGGAAATCCATGTCACTTTGAAATCCCCCCTACAGCTGTAGTTTCTTTTAAATAAAAGCTTCTGCTGACCTGACCCAAAAGTATGCTGCGTGTGTTTCCACGACAATAGGATACTAGTTTCAAGACCTAGGAATCCTCAAGGCATTAAATGGATGGAACGTTTCTGTCAGCGTGGTTGCTGAAAAACTCCATGAGTCCGAATTCAGTGGAATTCAAAAGACCAAAAACTTTTAATTGAAGTATTCCAGAGTTTATTGCATTGATATTGGTCATGGTGGCTCAAATTTTTCACATACCCATTTCAGAGACTGTCCATTTGAAAAAGCACATGATTTTCAGGTAAAAAAAATTATCTCCATAGTAAGATTTTTCAAAACTGGCAAGGATCCTATTGTCTGTGCCATGAGAGACAACCACAGAGGGGTGCAGCTGCTAAATCTTGCCCTCTTCTTATGACAGCAAATCCCATGATACAAGGACAAGTCTACATACAACTCCCAAAAACTACTGCAGGAAGTCTGTACAACTACTGTCTTTCCCATGAAGAAGTCCTAAGATCAGCCCCATTCTGTCTTGTTTTGTTTTATCTTCTGCATTATGAGAAAAGGAAAGAAGATGTATAGCAGATCATTTTACCCTAGTTCAGAACGATTTTTCTTTGGTGAAGAGTAGTGTTTAGTCTTTCTTGCAGAATGAACACACCTGATGCTTGCAATTTGTGTTTATACTTTGTTCTGGTTTACCATTTGGTTCTGCCTTTGGGTCTTATGAACGTAAGATTCACTAGCACCGATTCAGTTAAGGTTGTTCGTCCTGAGGTAGCCAATGCCAAAGTTGTTGCCATTGTTCTTACGACCCCTCTGAATGACTTTCTCATTACACTTTGTCCATCAGTTATGTGGATGAGGCTATCCCAGGACTTGGAGCCTGTCTATCTTAACAGTGGGAAGTCTGCCATGTGGGAAAAGTATGGGTATTAGGGACATTGTGGAGCGGTGGGGAAATGTTACAGAAGGTAGTTTAACATAGATTTGTTTGGGAAGCAAACTGTAATCCATACAGAGAAAAAGAGAAAGAGAATTGTTGCCATGAGTCCTGATGGTAAAAAGCAAAAGCCACACACACAAGCTTTTGTAAAAAGTAGTAAATCCAATACTTGTTAGTTCCACCTTGCTGCCACTGTCAGTAAAAAGGAACTGAGGGTAGGCTGCAACTATTTCCTTTTGTCCTTGCATGGGTGTACGGGAAAGAAACGGGTACACACATGGCCCTGACTAGCACATATTCATGAGACACTGATCTCTCATACATGAGGTTTATGTGCACCTACAGTGGTATCTACATTGACATTTTAGCAGCAATTAATACCCAAGTCAGGCATTAATACCAGAATTTAAGAATAGCTGCATTTCTACAAAAAAGTTTTCAGTTTTCCTGTTACACATAATGCATAAGACCTAAAGGAAACTAATTAAATTATTTGCAGACAAAAACTAGTTTAGCTTTATTGAATTGTCCTATTCTTCCTGAAGAAAGAAAAAGTTGCACCTCTGCTAAATTTTTTTAATGGATAGAATTATATTGACAATACTGCAAATTAGGAATAGGCAAAAAGGCTGGTGATAATGCTAGACCTCCCCCCACCCCCCCAAAAAAAACACCAAAAACAAACACGAGCCACTTTCAGGCTCTATTTACACTACCAAAAAAAAACTTTATGCATTATAAACACAGCACAAAAATCTCAGTTAAATGAACGTTATTTCTGTGAAAAGAGAGGGGGGAAAAAAAAAGAGGAGAGAAGAAAACAATTGAACAATAGTTGAATGATGTGGTACAATCATATGGTAACTAACTGGGATTTTCTTCTGTGCATCTTATGATTATGTTAGAGAACAAAGTTTTATCCAGAAATTATATACGTTAATTGTTCAAAAGATGGTTCAAAAGACAAAAAAAAGCACTACTAAAATAGTAGTAGATCACTCTGGAAGGAAACCACTGTATTCAGAACAAAACCAAGTGTAGATTATGTCCCACCGGCTAGCTTTGAGGGAGGAGCACAATTCATGCTGTTAACTCCACTCTTTTGACTAGCTTGCAGTTGCCATGTCTTCCTTAGCGACCCAATTTGCTTCGTGTTCCAGCTAATGCAATTTTCATAGGTTTTTCTTTCCTGCATCTCTACCAACAAGTTACCAGGTCAGTTTTAGTAACCATAAACTTCACAAACTCCAAATGAATGATCAGGAAGTACCAGATACGTTTCTGATGTGAATAATGTTCTACACAACTAAATGACTGGCAGAGGGAAACCCTAAGTTCTAGTGATGGTAAAGGCATGCAGCTATAAAATTATCTCAATTCTTATTAATCTTTTTCTTCTTACTAGGCTCTGCTGCAATTTCAACTGTCTTCAGTTCTGACAAGCTAGTCTCCTACTGGAGCTACTGAGAGCACCCATATGTGGTCAGGTAAGCAACAGTTAATATATTTCACATCTTTTAAAGATTCTTTCATTATTATTTTATATCCTTTAAAGATACAAAATAAAAAGGAAGAACCTTTGGAGAAAATGTGCAATATATTAAAGACAATAGGACTTACCTGAC